ACTCATTAAATAGAAATGGAATCTTCTTTAATGAGAGATTTATAGTAAAACAAAAAAGTTGTGATGTTGTTACATCACTTGTATATGCACATACTGCAGTTGAAAGTTGCAGGCTTTCACTGAGATACTGAGGTTTATTTGAGCAATTTTCCGCCTGTTGGAGGTAGTTCAGGAATTTTTCTGAAAGAGGAAGCTTGTTTATTAAGTGAGGAATGATATGTCTTTTGAAACAGACAAAAAAAAGTTAGGCTACTATCTTGTAATAATCTCTAAAATATGATCACCCAGTCACATTTCTAACTGCATTCTAACTAAGCCTGTACAAATTTTTTTTAAAAAAATTAAATATGTTTTATAACAAAAATTTCCATCTTTTAAAATCAGAGGACAGCTCACATGACCCTAAGATGTAAATTAGACTTTAGCACCTTAGGATCATAGGAGACGATTTTAAAAATCAGGAATTATGGGGCTGGCATTGTGGTACATCAGGTCTAACCGCTGCCTGCAATTCTGGCATCCCACAGCGTGCTGGTTTGAGTCCCAGCTGCTCCACTTCTTCTGGCTCCTGACTTTCTCCTGACCTAGTTCCAGCCGTTGTGGCCATTTGGTGAACTGGAAGATTGTCTATTTCTCTCTCTCTTCCAAATCAGGCAATAGTATTTGTGCTAAAGCATTAACTCCATAAAGACAGACAGTAATAGATCCATAAAAGAGAAGTCCTCACAGAAAGTGAATCAAGGTTGCCCTGAAACAGACTTTAGATGGACAAAGTCAAGACTCAGAATCCATCATTAGTGACTATCCACATATTGTAGTTGCCATGCCTATACACAAGAAGCTGGATTCTGTACCTAGGGTTTCAAGTATGTTGACCAAATTTTCTCTGTTTATAAACTGTGTACATATGAGGACCACATTGAGATGGTGAAATTAATCAGAAGGCTACCTTATGGCAGCCATGTCACTGTAATTATATCTAGCAGACATTTCTTTTAATTGTGACATGCTGTTTCCCAAATAATAATAGGACAAGATCGACGTATCTGAAATTTTTGGAAGGTTAAAAGATTTCACATTTCTTGTACTTAGAAGCTACTCAGAGGATAGAAAGCACCCCCTAGCATAAACCCTAAACAGATATACTTCATTAAAATTAAACACAGCCCCAAGAAGAGGTAAAACATTATCTTCATTTTTCTGTGATGTTAGGTCATTTCTAAGAAAGCAAAATATTAAAGTGCAAGCTTTTCTCACCCTGTGAAGTCCAAGTTGAACTGCGGCTCAGTCTGGTGGGACCCAACATTCGGGATATTAGCTGTATTATAGGAACCTCTCTCACCATTGCCATGTATTAGCTGGTTTCTTAGAGTGATTAGCTTCTTTCAAGATAAGTAATAGCAAAATAATTTGATCTTGTGCTCATTGTCCATGTCCTATGCCAAGTTGTGGTATGATAATTGTCTATAAGAATGTGTCATTCCAAATTCATCCCGAGCACATGACAAGAGGACTGGAGACAGTTGTACACCAAATAATCGGAAGGTTAGATTTAGATTGCCCAAAGTTCCAGTTAATCAGATTTATTTCAAAAAAGTACTAAGGTTCATGTATTTGACACAGACATTGTGAACACACTGTAATAATGTCTGGTCTTTTTACTTGTTAGGCAATTGGCTAACATTCCCTACAAGTGCCTATGTTATCGTGATTAATGAGTGTTACCACATACATAAAAATGACTTAAGTTAACTGTCAAAATCAATTCTAATAGAATATGGCCTTTGGAATTTGTTTGCCTATTTATAAGAGTACTTCAAAATGTTAGCGTGAAATTGAATTTTAAAAGAACCGAGTTTTGGTGCAAACCATTTTTGAAATCAGAACATGTAGAAGATGTTCAAAAAGTTCATTATGAAAGAAGCTGTCCACGGATTCCAAAATTTTTCACTCCAAAACAAAAATATCTTAATGCCAGTTTCCATGAACTTTTTGAAGTTGCTCAGAAACAACAACATTTTTTATTTAATTTTTTCGCATATTTGAAAGGTAGAAAAGATAAAAGAGTGTCAGATTTGTGCTTCACTCCCCAGATGCCTACACAGTGTTGGGGTTGGGGAAGTGGGCAGCGGCTAGATCAGTCCAAGACCTAGAACCAGGAGCCCAATCTCCAGTGGGGGTGACAGGAACCTTGTCAGCTGAGCATCACTAAATGCCACTCAGGATCTGCACTGACAGAATTCTGGTGTCAGGAGGGGAGTTGAGAATCAAACCCAGCACTCAGCAGCGTGTCTTAACTTGGGAGGTTAAGCATACCTGTCCAGGAGTCTTGCTATAGGCATCCTTAACCTAGGGTGTGCCGATTCATTTCATCTTACTTCTGCTTGGTTTTAAGACCTTTTGCTAGAGGAGTAATGTAGAGAGGTGAACAACTTCATTAACTGGTCATTTAACACACTTTGCAACTTTCCTAGGTGAGCTACGGTTTATTATCTAGATGCCTAGAAAAGCTGAGTCATGTTCTAGAACTGTGAAAGTAAGCAGGAAAGGATTTAGCACTGGTATTACAACATGCAGTTCTCAAAGCCTGTGTTTCTGATGTGAGAAAGGTTTGGCAGGTAAGAAGACCATGGTGTGGGAGAATGTGCGGCTTTCAGAAGTAGTTCATGAGTATACAGTGTCTCTAGGTAGGGCTAAACCAGCCATGGTGCAGGAAGCCAGTGCTATGTAATCTTAGAATTCTGTTTTCCTGCCAGATGGCATTTAGGAGCCACTGATAATTTCCTGGCATTTCCTCTTGTTAGATTACTGGTTTCTCAGTGCTTAACAAGAAAGCATACCCCTGTTGAAGGCACAGTTTCAGTATGGTAGAAGAATTGCATGTAACTCAGGAAAGACCAGCAAGAATAAATTAAAGCAGAGTCGTCTTCCCCATGCTGTCATTGTCACGTGTGTCTTCATTTCATTACCTAAGGGTACATCCCGGTGTTTTTTTAGGGCTAAGTACAAGCGTGAACATGTGTGTGCTCTTACTTACTCTCCCAACTCTGAGCCAACTGTGCTAAGCAATGATCCTTGCAAGAGAGTGGCACTCATTTGCTGCCTGCCTGCTCTGTGTTTGTCAGTAGCAGGCAGAAGGCTCCAGGGCTGGGGCAGTGGTGCCCTGGTTCCATTGCCTGACTTCCTTTGCTGGGTGGCTGGCTGCCGAGACAGACCAGGGTCTGAGTTCAACAGCCGTGGCCCCGGGTGGATTTGGAGACAAAGGGTGTGGTTTCCTTAGCTCACTCTCTGCTATTTGGTTGCCTGTGGCAACAGGATCCAAACAACTTGAACATGTGTTTGTATAAAAAAACCTGGGAATGGAAGTGAGAGCAGGAGTTTGGGGCTGTTCAGCTGGCTGGTGGGACGCGCTTAGCTGCGGTGAGTAGTCGGCAGCTCCTCGTTTCTTTGCCCTTTCTAAATTACACTGCGGATGTTTGCTGGCACTGAAATCTTGTTTGTGGGTAGTTGGCAAAACTAGTCTCCATTCTTGTCCTGTGCAAATTAAATAATTGCTACCTATTTACCGATGTAAACTTCTTTTTCAGCGTGAGAGGAACAGATTAGCATATGTTTAAAGGAGTTAAGAGCTCATGGAAACTCGGGCTTGGCCCCTTTGTGCTGGCAGGATTCTGAGGGAACTGAGTGGCAGAGGGGCTCTGTGGATGTGTAGGGGGGATAGGGAGTGCTTGGCGGTGCACAAACCTGGGCTTTAAGTGTCACAGTGTGGGGCGGGTGAGCTGGGGTGTGGGAATTCTTTATTGGAAAAGATTGGAAAGGATTCTTGTAATATTCAGGTTAACTCTTCTGAAAAGTCATTTTCCCCCTAGTTATACTTTAAAATTGCAGCTTTTTAAAGAAAGAGCAACTGTCTCAAGTGGTAACACTTAAGTGAATAAAATAGATTCTCAGTTACTTAACCAGAGAGGGGTTTAGCACATCACAAAAGCCCCCATCACTGTGACAAATAATTTGCAGATGTCAAACTTGCTAGTGTCAGTGCAGAGTGCCAGTTTTACAAAGTTGGTAAACTCTATCGGATAGAACTCTTTAGAGACTGCTCTGGAATTAAGTACTTTTCTGCCAAATCTTAAGTAAATGGAAACATCTTTAACAAATTAGGATTCTGTGTGTCTGGCATAGTAGAGTCAGCTAAGTTTTTGTTTGGCTAGGTTTTATACATGGGCAGAAAGGGAAGCCTTTAGTAGTTGCCACCACTCCCGCTTCTGCCTACCCTAATATCCTACAGAGAGAGAGAGAGAGCGGGGGGGGGGGGGGGGGGGGGGTAGGTGACAGGAAGAGCTCCAGGAGCTGCAGGAAGGCTTGTGGCTTGTGGCAGGGTCACTGTCGCAGCCCTCAGAGTGTCTTCTGCCTCCTTGTCCAGGCTGCCAGCACTGGCGTCTGTTTTCTGGGGAGCGGCTTTGTGCAGATGGCACACCTGCCTCGTTTTCCCACTGTTCCTTTGACCTCTGCCCAATGCCCTTGCTCTGTGTAGTATACCGGTTTCTTCCTTCTTGCCTGCTCCATCACACCCCTCCACTCGTTCAAGCCACTTCTCACAGTGACTGCACCTCCCAGAGTCCACGTCCGGTGCTTCCTGCCAACACAAGAGCTAATCTCCCTGTGGCCTTCTGTGTCCCTTGTGAAACAGCACAGTGGTCTGTTCGACCAAGCAGGGATTTCCGCTGTCTCCCCAGGGACTGACTGGCCATTGGCCTCTGGTCTTGGGCGAGCTGGACTCGGCAGGCAGTTTCTTCTCACGAAGCCATTGTGAAGTGACTGTTGCTTAGCACCTGGTGACCAGCTGGGCTCATGGAGAAACCGGGCTCTGGACCCCGTGCTCCAGGGACGTCTTGACACACATACGCACAGGGAATTGTCCAGTGTCTGTGGGCCTCTAGATGGCAGAGCATTGCAGCAAAGCTGACATTTGTTCATTTGTTCTGCTCTTGTTCCCACAGGCCCCTCAGGTTACAAGGTTGGCACCATGGCTGAGAAGTTTGACTGCCACTACTGCAGGGACCCCTTGCAAGGGAAGAAATATGTGCAGAAGGACGGCCACCATTGCTGCCTGAAGTGCTTTGACAAGTTCTGCGCCAACACCTGCGCAGAATGCCGCAAGCCCATTGGTGCGGACTCCAAGGTAAAGCTGTCCTCCGGTCATGACGGGATGGGCTTTCCTGCACCCGGGACAGCTGCTGCCTGTCACCAGGAGTTCTTATTTTCAAACGACCTTGAGGTAGCCCTTCTCATGGCTTCATACCCCCTTACTGTTTTGCAGAGGTGGAAGTAGGGCTGGGACTAGATGAACGTAGAACAGCTGTCTCTGGCCACTTCCAGGTGTAACAGACTGTGTGTTGTCAGGATTCAGATCTGAGATCATCTGTTACTGCCAGGGACCCCAGTCGTGCTCACAGGGGTCTGTCTCTCTCCTACTTGGTTTCTAGGAGGTGCACTATAAGAACCGCTACTGGCACGACAACTGCTTCCGCTGTGCTAAGTGCCTTCACCCCTTGGCTAATGAGACCTTTGTGGCCAAGGACAACAAGATTATGTGCAACAAGTGCGCCACTCGTGAGGACTCCCCCAAGTGCAAGGGGTGCTTCAAAGCCATTGTGGCAGGTACTGTTCCCGTCCCACTCCGGGCGGCCAGGGAGGAGGCCCTGCGGGCAGATGTGATGCGGGCTTGCTTATCACAATGGGACTAACGTTTGCTGTGAGCTGCTTTGAGGTTTTAGCATATATATGTACACATACACATATCCACATGTATGCGTACACATATATGCTCGCACACACGCACACACTCGGAGACTAAGGAACACTGGCAAGAACAGCCTGGGACAAGAGAAGGAAGTGAAAAGTATGTAGCACTTTGTCCTTTGGGTGTAGTGAGGGATCATAGCATGCTGCTTCTCCAGGATGTGATCGTGGGTCAGGCAGTATCCCTGTCAAATCTCTCCATCTGCACAGGGTATAGAGGTGGGGGAACGGGGAGTCAGGTATGTAATCCTAAAACACTGCGGGGGGCCCTGCCCGTGACCGAATCCCGGGTTGGCAGAAGTGCAAGTAGCACACGAGTAGGTGAGTTGGAGACCTGAGGCCACTAACTGCAGGGCCTGCATCCCCTCACTGCTGGCGGGCCAGGGGAGGGGGAAGAGCTGAGTGGATGCAGCGCTCTGCAGAGCCTGTCAGTGGGGCTATTTCCTTGCCTCCCCCTTGCAGGAGATCAAAACGTGGAGTACAAGGGCACCATCTGGCACAAGGACTGCTTCACCTGCAGCAACTGCAAGCAAGTCATCGGGACTGGAAGCTTCTTCCCGAAAGGGGAGGACTTCTACTGCGTGACTTGCCACGAGACCAAGTTCGCGAAGCACTGCGTCAAGTGCAACAAGGTACATTCTCAAGGGGGTTCTGTGGCAACCTGTTCTAGAAGTGTCTCCCAGTGGGCAGAGCACTTGCACACACACTGTCCCATTCCGTCCTCACGGCAGCCCTGTGACATGGGAATTATTACTCTCGTTTCACAGATGAGGAGACTCTGAGATTAGACAGTGTCCTGGCCGCGTCAGGCCCTGAGATTGCACCCTTACTGCGCAGGCATGGGCAGTTTACATGGCACCCTGAGCTGGGCATCCCGGCCTAGGGGTTCACTTCTGCCTCTTACTTGCCGTGTGACCTCACAAAAGGGCTCGTCTTTCTCCCGGCCTCAGTGTCTTCATCTGTCATTCGGGGATAATAATAGTGCCCACCTCCCATGGTTGTTGTGGAGATTAAATGAGATACTGCCCACCAGAGCACCCAGCACAGTGCCTGGCGCATAGTAGGCATTCAACAGAAAGGTGGTTGAATCTGAATCCGGTGCTACACTCCCTGGTCTAGGCCATCACCTCTGGAGGAATCACTTACCAGGATCAGCCCTGGCATGCCGATTGCTTTGTGTGTGTTACCTGCTCTAAGAAGCTGGCTGGGCAGCGTTTCACCGCTGTGGAGGACCAGTATTACTGCGTGGATTGCTACAAGAACTTTGTGGCCAAGAAGTGTGCTGGATGCAAGAACCCCATCACTGGTAGGCTTAACTAGTCCTTGCTAAGTTGGCCAGGCTAGGTTTTGCGCATGGTAACCATCTCTCATTTTCCTGTGCCGTCGGTTTCATCCACCAAGGCCCCACAGAATGCCCTTCTCCCCTATCATGGTGCTCCCAAAGGTCCTCAAATAGTTTGGATTCCCCTCAAGCCAAGTTAGTGTTTGCAATACAGAACACTTCCTGACTACTGCTAACTAACCAACCAGACTGGGAGTTCACACGCCTGAGACCCTTCGGGCCACAGGCAGGTGCTGCGCTATGCGGGGCTGGGGAGGCGGGGGAGAAGGGGGTGGCTGGGAGGACTGGGGCTGGGGGTCGCAGGGGGAGGAGAGGGACAGAAGGGGAGGAAGAGGACGGGTTGAAGGAGGGAGGAGGGGGAGGGCCAGGCTGGAGAACCATAACCTGGGAATCTAACACCCCGTAGCTGAAGGCTAGTACAGGGGTACCTGTTGGCAGGTTTTCTTTTTATTTATTTATTTTTGTTTTTGCGATCAGAAACAAAGCTAATCACTTCATTCCTCATCTCGCGGCCGCGATCCACGTGCCCTGGGCCCTTTTCCCCTGCCTCCAATGTTCCCATCTCCCCGGGGAGCCTTGAAATGTACATTTGAGAAGACTTTTGCCATCCTCAGGGAAAAGGACTGTGTCAAGAGTGAGCCACCCAGTCTCTAAAGCTAGGAAGCCCCCAGTGTGCCACGGGAAACGCTTGCCTCTCACCCTGTTTCCCAGCGCCAACCTCCGGGGCAGGCATCCGGGTGGAGAGAGGACTTGTCCCTCGTGGGTGGTGGTTCTTTATAGAAAAAATCGAAGCTTAGCAGCTCCTCGAGGCCCGGTAAGTGCACACCCTATGAACAGCCCAAGTTTGCCTCCTGGTGGCCACTTTGATGCCGTGGCCCTGACCTAAATCAGAGAACCTGGTTATGCTGGGAGGTCCGTGCGCGTCTTAGGGCGATAGTGGTGGTGTGGGAGTGGGGTCCTTTAAGTCAGGGAAGCTCTTGGCTGAGCTCCAGCATCTCCTCAGGTCCTGGGGAAGCCGTAGCAGAGTTGCGATGGCGGCATGGGGGACAGTGGCAGTGCGGTTAGCGGCATGGGGGACTGTGCGCGGAGGAGCGGCGGGGGTGCTGGGAGCTGGGCAGATACTGGTTCTGGGTGCTTGCGTCTCTGTGATGGGGCAAGTTGTCATTTTATCTCTTGCGGTAGTGGCCTCCTCACCATGTTGCATTCAGCCACATCTCTCTTGTTCTCTTTTGTCTTTCCACAGGGTTTGGTAAAGGCGCCAGTGTGGTGGCCTATGAAGGACAATCCTGGCACGACTACTGCTTCCACTGCAAAAAATGCTCCGTGAATCTGGCCAACAAGCGTTTTGTTTTCCACCAGGAGCAAGTGTACTGTCCCGACTGTGCCAAAAAGCTGTAACTTGACAGGGGCCCCTGCGCTGTAAAATGGAAGCTCAGTCATGCCCTTTGTGTCCCTGCCCTCTGCCCTACACCATCAATAGGGCAAGAGTGGCCTTCCACCTGTTTCAAGTCCTTCTTCTTGTCTTTGCTACCATTTTACAGTGTCTCTTCGAATAAAGGCACGTAGCAGTCATACTAGCATTTAGCAACACGCAAACACTGCAGCAAAGTTCATTTCTCGCCAGCCCCGATTAGAACACAAAACCTTAGCTAGATTGACTCTTCTGCATGATTACCATAGAGCAGAACAGTGCTAACATGTAGCCACTTAGTGACATAAGCAAAAAGCCTGCAAGCCACACCCCCTGCCCACCTGCCTGTCAGGGCCCAGCGGGGCTGGGGCTCTCTGTGTACTCACGTGACCTGACCCGGCACCCTGTGACGACAGCAGAAAGGAAACTTGCCGAAATGCATGGTTTGACTTCATCAGCAAAACTCCCCCCCCCCCCCCCGTTCTTTTGTGCTTTCAGATGACTTAATGTGGATTTCTGGAACACTAACATTTGAACTTAGCTGTAATTCCTGAACTGCCCATGCCCCAACACTAACCTTTGAATTACCCGCGGGGCCTTGTGTTCCGAGCCGTCCTTCAGAGCCTGGGACTGGCAGGTAGATCTGAGAAAACGAGCAGCATCGTGACAGTGATTGCTTCTGGAAGCTTGACATTAACCTTGTTGTGCTTTTCAGTTTTCAGTTATTTTTTGTTTGTTTTAATGAATAGCAAGTTAGTTTATGGGTTTGAAAAGTTGCATGAAAAAACTCTTAGCCCCCTCCTGCTTTCCTGCAGAAATAAGCGCAGAAGTGGTGCGGGGCAGCTCAGCAGGTGTCACAAGTGTCATCACCGTGGATGTAACACTTTGATAAGTGATGAGCGAATCCCTTGTAACATAGTAGTTGTCTGCTCTTTGTCCGTGTGTTACAGAGCACTACCAAGTCCCTGCTCTTGTGATTCTAGGGCTTTTCCTCTAGAGCTTATCTGGATCTCTGGGGGAGTGGGAAAGCCAGCGTCCTCATGGACAGAACCGAATTTGCACCCACTGCCTCCCTGACTGCAGGATCACCTCCTTACTGTATTCCATGTTATATCCTACATAGTATAATCAGAAACTATCAGAAGTAAACATGTAATGACAATGCATATTAACATTCTTGTAGGAGTGGTTAGAGACGCTGATGCCTCATTGCGCCATTTTGTTGTTGGCTGTTATCATCTTAACGGTTTCAGTGTATCCTGACAAATAAAGCAGCATATGAATAACTTGCCTCCTGTCCTTTATTCCTACCCAGGGCAATGGCTAGAAGGTGCTGCCATTGGTCCAGCGACTGCAGAGACACGCTTCACCATAGTTACAAGGATGTTCTCACATGTGTACCATTGCACGCAGTGCAGGGACAATCAGTGGAGCGTAACGGTACCACTGCTGTGCTCCAGTGGAAAACACGACAGAGAAAGCAGCCTGCCCCACAGCCTGATGCCGAGAGGCGAGATAGGGGGTGATCTCAAAGGAAACCTGCCGTGATCCCTTTTCACTGGGGCTGCGTTCCTTTCCCTTATACCCACTGGAGAACTCCAGGATCCATGCTGAATGTGGCTGGAAACTCATATGCCCCTGCGCGGCTTTAAGGGAACCCTTGTTCCTTGTTGATGTGTACTGGGGAGATGACCAGTTTGGGCCTTGGTTTTTCACCTAGGGCTGGGGACTGGGGTGGTATGGGTGGAAGGCAGCAGGTTGGCCTGGCGTTGCTCCCCAGCCATCACGGTTGTTTGCTGCCAGGACCACACACTGGCAGCATTCCTTGGCCTTGGAAACTCGTGAGCTGGGGTCACTCACCTCGGCCACGCCCAGATGATCATTTCTGGACAGGAGGTTTACTGCGCTCTCACTCACGGCAGGGTTTACAAGCCTTCAGCTGTTCCCTTTCAGCTGAAGATACAGGAGGGAGGCAGCCAAATGGGGAAGTTTGCTCTGACGGGCCCCACACTCAGGGTCATGAAAGCGAAGGCAGGAGCATTCGGACCTGAGTTTTCCCATCTGAGAAGGAAGTCACAACTTGTCAACAAGAGCCCATGGGCATTGTTCAGAGTGTGGGCCACCCCCTTGTATGTTTTCTCTGCAGGAATTAGTCGTAGTGGCCTTAAGCCAACAAGGAGAGCTGATCCAGCTAGCTGGGCCCCCGGGGGCTGCTGGGGTTGGTTGGGGTGCAGAGAGTGGCTGCCCCCTGTGCTTCCATGGGAACTGAACAGTCTGTGTCCCTGAGACTGCAACAAGGAAAAGCAACCAGAGGGGTTAGACCTGGAGTGGAGAGGACAGTGGCCTGCACGGAACTTCTCAGTACCTGGCCCAGCCTCTTGTCCCTGGCCACATGCCAGAGCCCTTCATCTCTGCTCTCAACTCTGGCCAAGCACTGGACCTCATCAGCTTGCAGAGAGGCCCTCCCAAAGCTCAGATTATACCACTGCAAGACTCTCCCACTGCACGACTTCAAGTGGCCTGCAGACCGCTCCCTACCGGAATTCCTTCTCTCAGCCCCTTCCCACCTCCGCTTCCCTTCTCTCCCTAGGCCATGGCATTTCAGCCACACTTTTCCCACCTCATATCTGTTACTCATTGGCCTATTGGACCGTAGCAGCAGAACTGCTGGCCACAGCTAGGATAAGGAAAAGCTGCACTGCCCATTTCCCAGGCTTGGTGCCACCTCTGGCTCCATATTCCTACCCTCAACACCATTCTCTGCATCCTGGCAGGCCAGTGTCGCACATGAATTGTGTCCCATCCTCACAGCACTGCCATTATCCTCCCCATGGTCCTGATGAGAAAACAGGAGATAATAGAGATTATGAAGTTTGCTTGAAGTCACAACCTGCACACCTCCAGGCCATCCCTCATGACATTGTTGTCATCGAAAGGGGTGTGTCACAGTGAGGAAAGTACCATCAAGAGCTCAGTACTTAAAACATACCTGTGTGTGTTGAATACCTGGCTTTAACAGGGTCAGAGCCACAATGTGCAGGAGAAATGTGGGTATTTAGCCTTGACAGGGTGGGTTCCACAGCCAGGCTACCTAGGCCCAGACCCTGGCTGCCCTGATCTGTGCACTTTGGCCTCAAGCCAGAGTTCTTCTGCATGAGCTCTCATAGCTAGGACAAGTTCCTTGAGGCTCTTGAAACTTGGTTGTTGCGCATAAAATGAGCCTTGGAGTTCCTGCTTTGTGAACGGACTCATACAGGTGATCAAGTAAGTGTGCATTGGGGTGGCTGGCACTTTAAAATAAAAGTGCTTAACCCATGCTAGCAGTGGGTTTAGTACTAGCACCAAAGATACTGCTCCAGTGTGTTGGGTCTCCCCTGCCAACCACCATTTGCACTCCCTTGCATCAGAGTGGGGTTTCAACTTGGGGGCCAGACAAGTGCCTGAATCCCAGCTCTGCCTCTTTCTAGCTGTGTGCCCTGGAGCTGCTGCCACCCACTGTAATAAAGAAGAGCATTCCTCTGGACAGCAGCACCCATAGTGTGATGCCGCCAAAGTGCCTGGCAGGGTGAGGGTGGGGCACACTGGTTCAATTTGCTAATCCTCTCCTTGCAAGCACAAAGATGCCACATAGGCACTGGTTTCTGTCCACTTCCCATCCAGCTCCCTGCTTGTGGCCTGAGAAAGCAGTGAAGGACAACCCAAAGCCTTAGGACCCTGCACCTACTTGGGAAGCCCAAAAGAAACTCCTGGCTCCTGGCTTCAGATCAAGCTATTTGGGGAGTGAATCAGTGGATGGAACATCTTTTTCTGCCTTTTCATTCTCACTGTAAAGTCTGCCTTTCCAATAAAAATAAAACTTTTTTTAAAAAAGTATCCTGCAGATGACAGGTGGCAACCCAATTACTGCTGTGACAACTGTGTGACACAAGCGAGGTTAGATGAGTGGCTAAGACTCACTTGGGCAACTAAACTGCTTGGGTGAGAGATGGAAGGCAATGAGGCTGCTGGATAGTGAGCAAGACACTGGATGTGACAGGGAATTGATCGTGGCACTAGCTGCCATCTGCTGGCCCTGGTCTCCAGGCTCTAGTCACAAGGTGGGTGGAGAACACAGTGCCGTTGTAGAACTGCAAGTCCCATGGAGCCTATAGTGCAGCCTCATGCTTGACAGGGGGCAAGGCTCAGACAGTGAAGTCACACAGTTTGCTAGCTGCCCTCTCTGTGAGGGTGCCGATCTGAAGGGTCCGGCTTTATATTTTTTGTAGTGCTCTCCACTGCATTCTAGTTTCTAGGGGGGTGAAGCTATGAACAGCTTTGTATCACTGCTGCCTCAATATCCCTGATGACACAAGCATAGGAAACGCATCAATCCGCAGTATCTGCTGGTGATGGCTAAGGGTCTGCCCCTTGTGGGAGAGGACACTGAAAGGCTATCCAAGGAGGAAGGGAAATGTGAGGGAACCAGTGTTCCTCGGGGAGAAAGGGGAGGTCAGCATCCATCATTCAGAGTTGTAAATAGGACCCTCCTGGTTCAACAGTTCCAGCAGATGGAGCCACAGTACCTGGTAGCAGACTTGGTAGTGAAGTTCCTGGCCTTAGATGAAGTATATCCTGGAGGTATATGTCTGACAGGAATGGGAGGTGTTGAGAGCATACAGAAAGCTCTGGAATCCTCAGTGGATCTCAGGAATATTATCATTCCAATCATCATTGTTACCTCCTGGGTTTGTCTTGGCTGGAAGCTGGAGTCAGAAACTGGAGCTGGGAATTGAACCCAGTCACGTGATGTAGAGTGGGCTGTCTTAACTGTTACATCAAAGGCTTGCTTCTCTCCTAGTCTTGGCATCGCTTCTCAAACAGTATTTATTTTAAAGTGTCAGAGACAGGGAGCAAGGGAGAGATAGATGGTCCCTTTTTGTTATCGGACTCTTCCGACAATAAAGCTATTTAACACCTTCAGGGCCGGGCGGTGTGGCTTAGTGGCTAAAGTCCTTGCCTTGAACGCGCCAGGATCCCATATGGGCGCCAGTTCTAATCCCAGCAGCTCCACTTTCCATCCAGTTCCCTGCTTGTGGCCCGGGAAGACAGTCGAGGATGGCCCAAGGCTTTGGGATCCTGCACCCGCATGGGAGACCTGGAGGAAGTTCCTGGCTCCTGGCTTCGGATTGCCACAGCACCGGCCGTTGCGGTCACTTGGGGAGTGAATCATCGGACGGAAGATCTTCCTTTCTGTCTCTCCTCTTTGTATATCTGACTTTGTAATAATAATAAAAAAAAACCACGTTCAGCAACAAGTCATCATGAGGAAGAGTAACTAGGATTGACAGGAAACTCACACCTAGGGTGCTGGGAGTAGAACTGTCAACTTGGCAAGCTAGAGAAAGAGGGGACTCCAAGCACCTGATTATTATTTGCTGAGCCTGCTGGCTACCTGCCTTCAGAGCTTGGTTAGTAACCAACATCAGCTTGATATCACCACCAGTACATGTTTTTCAATTAATGACGAAAACTTGCTTGTATCTGCAAAGTTGATTTTATATCGCACACTTCAATTGGGAATTGTACCCATGTATTTCAATCTATGACATCTGTACAGAAAAGCATCAGAAACTCATTTGTTAGGATGATTGCTGCTGCCCTCTATTTGAGCCAGATTAGTGCATAAAACACTTTCTAGACCTAAGACATCTGGCTTTATCCGTAACAAAGACACAAATCTCTGAGAAAGAAGGGAAGCCAGAAACAATGATCTTTGCTGATTTAAGACTGGTTTCCCAAAGCAACTCTGGCCTGCTCCAAACACTTTGAGGCTCAATCCTGAAAATTCATCAGTATTAGAATGTTCAAGTTTTTACGGAATTGTAGGTCGTGTGTGTGTGTGTGTGTGTGTGTGTGTGTGTGCATGTGTAGGGGCAGGGTACCTCTATGCATGGACATCTGTGTGCCTACCACAGGGACTGAGTAACAGCACCCTTCCTGTCCTCACGCACAGCCAGTGCCTAGAGAAAGGCAAGTCCATTTTGGTCACAGATGAGCCCAAGTAGCCCAAGTAGATGTGGAAGCATCTAGCAAGGGCGTACCAAAGACTGTGAAACAACACTGAGAAGAATTAAACACGTGGCATGGGACGACCGCAAAGCTGTGTGCGAATAATGCACCTCTTGGCAGAGAAACCCCATTAGGCACTGACAAGAGTATGAGAGATCTAGAGCGTTCCAAGATTTGGCTTTTTCATGCTCCTGGCTCTGTGGGCCTGGAACTAACAATGGCAGAGTTAGAAACACACATCTATCACAGTAAAATACGCTTGATGGTATTTTGTAATCTTCAGCATTTATATATTAGAAATCTGGCATGGCTCTTGGGAGAAATCCTGAGATATTAACATAATCCATTTTGTTCTCTACCAGATCAAACTATGTTTTTAGTTGTTGAAATTAAAGTCAGTGTCACACAGAAAAATTATTTTGTTATGATTTTCAATATACACAGAAAGAGAATCCTTCCTTTGGGAGGACCCCATACAAAGCCGGCAGTTACCACTTCACGTGAATAGCTTTGAGCTGCATTTATGCCAGCACATGTACTGTTAAGCAAAACACAGGACTGGAAAGCACTGGTGAATATTTAATGAAAGCAAGGATGACCATTTCCTTGGAACTCGTGCTTGCACACAAAAGGCGATATGAATGCCTTAGGAACTGTATGTCAAGGTGACCTTCGGATGCTTCTCTTGTCTGTTTCTTTTCTTGTTTTCCTTTGCCAGCTTTACTGCTTGCACCGAGAAGTTTGGGAAATAAGACCTGGGATTTGAGCTAGATGGGGTGGAAGATGCGTTCCTTTCTTAGGTCCGAAGAGGTCTACACATCTGATGAGAAAGGAAGAGAAGATAGATTAGTACATATATACGCAGAGTCCCGTGACCCTGACTGACCTCCCTTCAGGTTAAGCCCAAGACTCCAGGTCTCCCCCTAGACAATGCAGATGCTTTGACAAACCTTTCCCTTTTCCTCAGCCCCAAGAAAGACCTTAGCTATGACTCTTAGTTTCAAAGACAAGTTATTAAGCAAAGAAAACTGAAAACCTATTGGTTTTGGAAGTACAGGTTGAGAGACCAATTCCAAAGACCTTGCAAAGCTCTGTGCCCTAAAAAAAAACCACATCTGTGCTGGGACCTGGCATGATGGCTCAATCCTCCTCTTGCAAGAATCAGTACACCACCTAGGTGCCGGTTCATGTCCCGGCTGCTCCACTTCCCGTCCAGCTCCCTGCTTGTGGCCTGGGAAAGCAGTCGAGGACGGCTCAAAGCCTTGGGACCCACACTCAAGTAGGAGACCCTGAAGAAGCTCCTGGCTCCTGGCTTCATATCAGCTCAGTTCTAGCTGTTTCGGCCATTTGGAGAGTGAACCAGCGAGCAGATGCAAGATCTTTCTGTCTCTCCTTCTTTTTGTAAATCTGCCTTTCCCATAAAAACAAATATTCAATAAAAGAATATCTGTGCTGGGCAAGCAGCTGGCCGAGCAGGAGTGGAGAGAATTGACTCTGAGAAAGAACATTTTTTCCTTCCTTCCTTCCTTCTTTCCTTCCTTCCTTCCTTCCTTCCTTCCTTTCCTTCTCTCTTTTTTTCTTTCCTTTTTTCTTGCTTTTCCTTTCTTTCTCTCAAGTCTCATAGAAATGTTCGGCACAAACATTAAAATCAGTTCATCAACTTCTTCAAAACTCACTCATGAGACTATCCCTACACATTATCCCTATACGTATGCCACTGACCACCTCCCCTCCCAAATTACATGGAGCAAAAGCTGTCCTGGGAACAGACTGATGGAAGATAGGCTTCAAGGTGAACTGCCTTTCAAGTAAGGTGAAGATGAAAGGTGGCCTTAGCAGAACTACCTGAAGGATCAGGATTTGTTTTCTTCTTGTTGTCAGAAGGTATTTCAGGATTTTGGAGCAATGCTGTGGAACCCATAAAGTTTTGTGCGTGGCTCCCAGAAGGGATATCTGTGATGGCTGATTCAGATATGCCATCATGAGCTGGGGCAGCAACAGTGTTGCCAGCCATCTCTTGGTTAGGTTCAAGACATGGAGTATATTTGGAGGTGCTCTTGGTTTCATTTGCTTTCTTGGTTCTGGGTTTACATGTGGATGCTCTTTTGGTGGATGGTCTGGAAAAAAAAAATACTTTGATTACAGCCCTGATTATTCCAAGCCCAAAGCTCTGTCTTGAAAGAATCTTCATCTTTTAAATCCCTTCTGAGAAATGCTGTGGAAGTAAACGAGCTTTTGAATCAGAGAATGGGAAGCCTGGAAGGAGTCCTAGAGATCACAGAATACATTAGCTTTCAAAGTATATTCTAGAAAGCCCAAGTGTGCCTTGGGAGTGCTAGGCACCAGGAGCAGCTAACACACAGGGCTCTGGAGCCCCCGCTGCCCTCCTTCACACTCTTCAGCGACCCCCCCTGCGTGAGTTGCACTTAGAGAAGTGGAGCACACTTTGTAGCTGTCATGCTCTCCCACACCATCACCGAGCTTCTTGGCAGCTGCGTTGTTCCCGTGCAGCTTGCAGGTCAGTGTCTTTTCAGACAATCTGCCAGGAAGAGGGGCTTTTCATGTGACACAAGGCTATGACTATCAAGCCAAGAGTTTCCACAGGAATTAAATTAAGCAATATCAAATGCTTGGTAGACAGCACTCAATCAATAAGCATCCCTTCCTTGTTTTTTGTTTGTTTGTTTGTTTTTTTTTTTAGACAGCATTAGCCAGTAAGAATTAAAGGATGGTTTGGAGTCAGGTGCATGTTTGAATTTGGCCTCTGATAGTGGGATGTTGTTTAAATAAGGTCCCTGCCATCTGTGCATTGTAATTTCTCGGTTTTAAAAAAAAAAGGGGGACTTGATGCTTCTTACCAAGCAAGGCTGTTGTGCAGATTTATCTGTTTTGCTTGACACAGTGCTGGATACATAGAAACCAAGAGCTCGATGGTAATATCATTCAGAACTCCAGGCAGGCTAATCATAATGCTGGTACATGTATGTGGGTAAGTATCCTGAGTGATTTACCTGCAGCTTTTTCCATGAGCTAAGTGGTCTTTCTTGTTTGTTGGCATGACACTGCTGATATCGGCATTAAAATATATGTTTGTCTCTTTATAGATCGGTTCTGAGCTGTCTTTCAAAAACACCAGCCTTCGAGGTATTGTCTTCAGTTTTCTGAAATCTCGACCTTTTAAGAAACATTGAGGAGGGGGAAAGGGACAGAATTCAAGCTAAAGTTTTAACAACAAATGCATGGGAGGGCAGAGGCTGTGAGCCTGATGAGATGAGGCAGGGTAAGGCCTGGGCTGGCAGCAGACTCAGCGCCCCAGGCCATGGCCGGGGCACTGTCCAGTGTACACACGCTAAGCACAAGGGGGAAGGGGGGCTACTTTGACCTGAAAAGCCTGACAGGCCAGAGGGTGACCACCAGAGGGCAGGACTGCTCCGTGTTTGTCACCCTCTCCCCAGTTATTCATGAAGCCACTTCTGCCTGCTACCTTCTGCTTTTCTCTGTGCCCTAAAGGTGGGCCCAGGGGCTCCTATTGTGGTCTACCTCCCCATAGCTGTGGCCTGTGGTTCCTGGAAGCTGAGGATTATGGCTTCTCCCCGCCTCCCCTCCCCTTGCTCCCACCCCTGCAGCATCCCCAGCATCTGGAAGAATGTATCCTTGACTTGCTCAGGACCCACCTGCAGGAAAAACAGAAACAAACAGGGTTTTCTGTGTCAACCCTGCTATGTTAAAGTGGTCCCTATTCATATGGGAGTCAGGGATACATTTCAGGGGGTACCTGTATCATGACATGATTTCATTTTTTTCTGAAAGAAGTAGAAAAGATAATTTTGCCTGTGGTCCACCATAGATGACTTCTGAGGCCCTGAGCTTTGAAATGCCAGTAGTCCTGAGAAACAGCTGTCATCTACACTCTTTGGTATGACCTGTACTACATTAGTAGCATTTATCTCATTGAAACCTCATGCCCTCACTGGAAAGAGGACATCAGCTTCCCCTTTGTCAGATGGGAACCAGCATAGAGACATGTGACATGTGACATGCCCAAAGCCACACAGCTCAGAAGCAGAGGAGCCTCTAGACATGAACACAGATGGTGTCATTCTCGCACTGTGACTAACAGAACCACGGAGGGTAGGTCAACCTGGTGAGAACAGCGAATCTGAAGAATCCTTGTCACTGCCGCTCGCTGTTGTGTCTTCATCATCAGCCTCATCCTCCTTGCACGTTTCATTGCCGGATGTTTCTGCAGTCTGTGAACAAAACAGAAAAATGTGATCACACATCAATCATTCCGATTTGGAATTTCAAAGAAGCCCAATGTCAAGGCTGGACTGGCGGCTAACTTTTCTCTAATTAAAATCCTCCCTCCCCACCAACAAAAATTTACCTTATCTTTAAATGGACCTCCTGTGAACTTTAACATAGTGACACCCCCAGCACTTTTCAAAAACAACACCTCTAACTCCTCTTGCTGCTTAATGATATGAATGATCACAACTGGGACACGAACTGGGCAGAATAGTTGTTTGGAAGCAGAGAATGTAAAGAGCAGAGAATCCAGAGGGAGAGAAACCTTGAAGACCCACGCTCTGTTAGAAGGCTCAATGCTGATGGAAGCAAAGGATTATGAAAGAGATCCAAAAGGCACTCACTCTAAAGAACAAAAAGGGCTCAGTCGGAGTTAATTGAGAGGTGGAACTCTGGCTCATCAAAAGACATTAAGAGAGTGAGGCAAACTACAGTGTAGGTGAAGATATCTTCAGTACATATATCCCAAGGGGCTCCTAAGAAAAGCGCAGGTGATAAAATAGGAAAACAGGCCAATAACTTGAAAAGGCCCTTTGGCAAAGCAGGTATCTGAATGGGCAGGAAACAATTGAGAGGCAGAACAGACTGCGACCTTCAGCAACAGTAAAGTCAGGCGCTGCCATGCAACAGAAGATTCAGAAAGGCAAGTCATAAGCAGGGAGCAGATGTCTATAGTCAGGGAAGCAGTGACAGCCCCGGCTATGAAAAGAACTTCAAGGAAGAAGCAGCCAAGGCGACCAAAGGGTTTCAGGTCAAAGACTGGAATAACCATCTTACTCAAGGAAAACCAGAAAGATTAAAACTAAAGATATGAAAGGCTGCTCCACCATTTCCAGAACCAGGAAGACAGAAATGGGATATGTTGATTCGTTATCACCAGATTGGTCAAAATGTAGAAGCTGGTAACAATGTGAAGTGATGAAAATCCAGCATCCCGTGGGCAGAGGCACAAAGACTACCTTTGGGGCACTTGCATCTGTTTTTCGTGTCCGCTTCATTATTTCCTCAATTCTCTATTTAAAGAAAAGTAAAAATGCAAGTATGAAAACAGGTTAAAAACTAAATGGCAATCCTGAAGTTGATGCTATCTACTGCTCATAGGTGGATAATGTCAGCAATGGATCCCAAGCCACAGAATTTACCAACACAAGGCCCTTCGTGGGAGGTGGAGGGGTTCTCTCCTCAGATCCCCATTTCTACCATAAAATGCTTGGAATGGTGACAGCTGAATTTGTTATCATAACAGAAAATTACAAGGTCTCAATCCTAACTTCAGGGATGTGGAAATTCATTAGAGCAAGCACCTATTACTGCAAGTCAATGAAAAGTTTGAACATGGCTTTATTCTAACAGACCATTCCTGGAGCTGATAGTAATGAATGGCATGCCTCAGAGATGCCACTGTCAAAAAAGAGAAGACGAGAGGCAGAAGAGGGTTGTGTCCAAGCAAGGGCTAAGAATTGTCCCCGCTGCACATGCTTGTTTTCCTGAAGGCAAAGAGAGCAGCACTTCTTGGACTCTTCAGAGCAACTGGTGTACTTGCCTGGGTATCCTCAAGGGGCCTTGGCCTGCACCAAGGCCTCCATATGAGTCATCCATGGCAACATTTTTACAAAGCAATGTGGCTTCTCAGAGCTGCCTTAGAAGGCACGCTCCCTCCCATCAAACTCTTCCAGGACCTCAGCACCGCCTATGGGAGCTTTGCTCCCAGGGGTCTGATGTACTGAGACATCATTGCAATGGTCACTGAGGGGCCGAGAGGAATGCAATGTATGCAGGGGAGGTCAGCTCCCTGAATGAAACAGAATAGAGTGCAGTGGGACAACCCCCAGGGGACAGCATCTATTGCATTTGTGATGTCCTGAAACTCACTGTGTGTTATAACATGCCCCACATGGTTTCAAACAAAAGACAAACTTCCCAAAAACAGACAGTGAGTACCTTTTTTCTTTCTAATCTTTCTTGTAAATTTTGCAACATAATTCTCTCGTGCTCCTTTTTGCAATTGCCAGCTTCTTCTGGAGCTATTACTCTGGTAACCTCTTCCTAGGAAATTTGCATAAAATATTTTAAGTATAGTATAGCTGAGTGACATCAAAGAACATTAGTTGAAAAGATGACATAATATTATGTTATCTAGAACAACAAAACTATGTAACCTTTTGATCAAGGGTTTTAACGTATATAACATTCACTGATGATTGCTTTTCTTTACTTGGAATGTACAAAACTAGACTAAATTGTATCTGAAAGTTTTAGGATCACAAGGTTATTATGAATATTAGGGCCACCTTACTTTAAAATCCTGTGACTATGGGGCTGCCCACTAACACAATACAGGAGCCAAAATCCTACATCTGTCAAAAAAAAAAAAAAACTGGGAGGATAATTTTAAAATATTTGTCTGAAAGGCAGAGCTACAGAAAGGGAGAAAAGAGTGACATAATTCAGTCACTAATTCACTCCCTAAATAGCCACAACTGAGAGGGCTGAACCAGATCAAAGCCAGAAGCTTCATCCAGCTCATTCAACGTGGATGCAGAAGTTCAAGCACTTGGACCATGTTCTGCTTTTCCAGTTGCATTAGCAGGGAGCTGAGGCAGAAGTTGAGCAGCCTGAACTTGAACTGGATACTGGTGCTGCAGGCGACAGCTTTACCTGCCACTCCACAATACTGGCCCCCTGAAAGGATTCTTAAAGGCATCTTCCATGAGGAATGCAGGTCCCTACAATCGTTTATGAAATTGCAACATTTCGTGACTGATAGACCAAAACAAGGAATAGGAATTGGGCTATCGATGATCATAACTCACAGCGAAAGTAGGTTGAACTCAATGAAATTTACTTTCCGCTGACTGGGATTTAGATGGGGTAAGGCAGGCATGCTTATTGGTGCATTCGGAGATCTTAGTTTTTTACAAGTGTTCACAATGAAGTGTTCACAAAGAAGTGTTCACCTTCTCATGTGTTCATGGGGGATGTGGGGAGCAGCCATGGGTGTTTTGAGTAGCACCATGCATGCCAGATCCGAAAAGCTAACCTGGGACCTTTGTTCTGTGTAAGTGACTTGGATTCCAAACAAAGTGATTGATAAGCTATACTTTACTGTGTTCTGCTGTTTTCTTTCCCTTGGACAACATCCTGGGATTTTGCCCAGGGTGGTTGGAGGTGACAACGGTGCTGGTGGGTAACAGTGATATGAAAAGGCAGCCAGAAAATATTGCATCTCTTTATCTTCTTCCTCAAAACAGTTTAAAGAATCTGTCTTCCAACTAAATTTGTTAACCTAGTTCTCAACCCCTATTTGAGCATGAGGCCAGCAAACCTGTGGCAGGGTCTCTGAATCTTTCTGACTTCCTTTCTTGTTTCCAATCTCCTTTTGTAGGTTTTCATCATCAAATTTGGAGACTTCTTGGGGTTGATCTTTAGCTGCTTTCTTTGTTAAGTCTTTCACTTTTGTAGCAGTGCTGAAAGTGTTTAAGTAATGGTTAGGAAATGTCTTGGTTGGCTGCTTACACAGCTTGCAGTATATACAGCATGCGAGCTTTTATTGGGAGACAGCCTGTGCATGGCAGTACAATTCACATCAGAGTCGCTGCTCTAATTTCTTGCTTTGTTACTATATAAAAGTTACACAATTGCAGCCTTTTTACAGTGGAGAAACTAGTCCCTGGAATTAGAACATATCTGAATCAAGTAGCAGGCTACTTTGCATTTAAAAAACAGGCACACACATGTACACATACGTGAGACACATAATCACTCCGTGACTGTTTTACAAATAGGAGACACTCTAAAAAGCCTTACTGATACATGCTCACATCCAGTCTTGTGTAGGGGTGATTTAGAGGAGGGTCTGGTGGGGCTCTCCAACACTAACCCAGCCCTGCTTACAGAAAGTGATGAACAACTGAATTTGGGTTATATATGGTTTCTCGTTAGTCACAATTTCCCCTCTCCTTTCTTGCCGCAAGCCCATCTGTATGGAAAGTATGTGACTCTATTTCAAAGAGCACTTAATATTTTAAAACAAAGTCAGTGCTGTAGTCATTCCTTGAAGGTTGTGGACAGAGGCTTATATTACAAGGCCCAATGTAAAATGAATCTCAAGAAGCCAAAAACATTTTACTTAAGTACAAACTCATGCAACTAAGTGTACATGAAATTTGCTGTGCTCAGCAAATGTGCAGTGACACTTCAACACACAGCATAACACATAGTCTGTGACACCATTGGACTGATGAGATTCTGGTGTCACAAAGGTCATTGGAAAACACCCAAAATAACATGAAGAAATTTAATGATCAGGCTTGCAAATGGACGGGAACTAGAGGGGACTGGAGCACTGATGCACAAGGCAGGTTCCTCTGTGCTCTGCCAGCTCCAGGGATCTGAACTGCTTCCTGTTCTCTATTTGCTTAGAAGGCAGGGAGCTTTTTCTGACACTTGCAGAAGGAAACTTCATTTGTACTTTAGGAATTTGTAACACGAGGGTAAGATGTTGCTGTTCAAGACCTTGACTCCACTCAAAATTTACAATATGGAAAGGACAACGGTTTGTTCACCTTGGTTCCATTTCTTTTTGTAGTCTTTCTTCTTCATCTCTGACTTTTTGTTCATGAGCAAGATGATGTTTTTCTGTTAAAATTTTTGTGGCCTCCTCGGCATTCATAGTTTCTGATGTGCTTTTACTATCAGACTCTGTGTGAAATAAACATTCCAATCCATTAGCACAAGCAATTTACTCTTCTTCCATCCAAAGTAGTGCAACACAACCGAAAACATTTAAAGAAGCAAATAGTATGAACACAAGCCAAAATGTATAAACCAAAAATCAAACTCGAGGTGATTTATTTAAAACTCGCCCTGGTGACATTCGCTCCACAGGAGAATTAGCATTTTGCTTTTTTTAAACAACTGCTTCCTCCAAATGAAAGAACACATTTCTACTCTGATTTTCGTTGGTAGGAGATAACGGACTCCGCTGACTGTATGGGACAAGACTAAGATATTCTAGGGGGAAGACAACCTTAGGCCAGGCCCAAAGGCAGGGTAAAACTTTTAAAGATTTGACTAAGCAAAGATATAGCTGTCTTACATATTGAGATTTGTGCATCATCTCTGCCTAATATTACTATTCAGTTCAGCACTGAGAGCAGTATGTACAGTTGGTTGATCAAAAAGTGGCTAACTGCAGACAGCAAAGGAAACCAAGCCTAAGACACAGTGAGAATGAATAATTCATACTAAGAGTATTCCTGCTATAAAGAATTCACGTGGAATGTCTTAAAAAGGCACAACTCCCTCGTGTGTTTGAAATTAAGTAATGACTGTTGGCATGGAACACACATGTGCCAGGCAAAAGAGCAGCAAGGCACCTTCAAGAACTCACAACCACACAAACCATGTATTATGGCCTATGCCTGGGAACTGACCTACATCTCCTGAAGAAAACTGGTTCATCCACAACGGGCTGGTGTGTGCTCTCTCCTCAAACGATTTACTATCAGAACTGAAAAGTCCCCTAGATCAGTTGGAACAAACCTTTCACCCAACAGAGATTTTAATAACAGCTCCCAATATGGATTTTCCAAAGCAAAGGGATTGGAGCAGCAGGAATGAGCAGCCAGAAGAGATGTGTTCCTCCAGGGTAAAAAGCAGTAAGATTACCTTCTAGAGAAACCATCCCCTAATCAATGGGGGAACAGGATGAACTTGAGCATTCCCATAGTTCGCTAAAGCAAATCTCTTACTGAAATGCCTTACCTTGAAAGACCACACGCTTTTTGCTCACAGCCTCAGACTTTCTTGTAGTTTTCGAAGTTTCTCTTTTCTTTGGCAAAGAGGGTAATACATTTTGTGAAAACTGAGCACGTTGGTCAGGTGTCATTTTATTGACCTGAGAATTCTGTATTGATTGTTTTGATGTGAATGGTAAAGGTGAGGGACTGGTCTTATGAATTTCCCTGCTGAGAAAAAGTGACAAATGTGTGCTAATTAAGTTTCAACGCACAAGTCTGTGAAATATCACATTTTGATACTACGAGATAATACTGTAATCTCGAAATTAGAGGTTAGAGACAAAAGTAAATCCACTTTAAAAGGCGTTTCCATCAAGAACAGTTATAAATAAGCAGCTTACTTGGTGTACTGAGAGAATGGGAGATGCCAGCCAGGTGCGGAGGACGGCCATCTCGGACACGGTGCCAGCGATGATGGGCGCTTCTTGCCAAGAGGACACAAGGACTGTATGGGTCTTGCTGGATGCTGAAGAGAGATCAGGGCAGTAAGAAAAGACAGGATCAGCAATTGCTTTACGGCAGCTGGCTTTTCTTTTCCTGAAACAAATCTGGATCAAATGCAATCACTCCTCCTTAAATCCCAAATTGAGTACAGATACTTGCTTCCAGATTAACAAGTTCAATTTCATAATTCAACCAGGTCACAGAAATAATTAACGTAAAAGAAATCCTTTACTGTAAAACCTATTTCTGTTTCTAAATCCTAATAGGTTTGGGAACATCTCCAAACTGTTTTTTTTTCCCCCTGAGGAAGAGAATTGATATATAGACTGCTGTGTCTTTTCTCTTCTAAAAATTAGTACTGTAGCTTTTGGAGGAAATACTGGCACAATGAATATGAGAGACTTTAAGGGGATAGCTTAAGAGGCTTAGCCAATTTTATTAACTATTTTATTGCAGAATACTAGTAGTGACTAGCTAGGTTGTGAAATCTGACCTGTTATCAATACAACGAACATGGATCTATTTTACTAGAAAACACGCCAATAAAAGGCACTTGACAAATCTGCAGAGCTTCCACTTGTGTTCACAAGGTACCTAAACACGCCCTTTGGGAAGTACTTCCACATTCGTCTCAGGGGCTGCTGCACACGCACCTGGGGAAGGGGGTTCCATGCTCACCTCAGGAGAGGTGTCCATGTTCACTGTAGGGGACATTTTCACACTCCCCTGGGGGACATGTCCACACTTGGCATGGGGCGGGGTCTACGCTTACCTCTGTAGGTGCTGGAGCGTCCACTCTCACTTTGGGAGGCGCATCCCCTCTTGCCCTGGACAGCATTTCCACAGTCACCTGGGGTGGTGCTCCCTTATTCGCCTTGCGAAATGCTTCTTTCACGGCTTCAGGGGACATCTCTGGGGCATCCTCGAGGGGCACCTCAGCGCTGCTCTCAGGGGGCGCCTCGGAGGAGCTAGCCTCCACACTCTCCTGGGGGCGTGTTTCTTCTTTTTTCTGTGTAGTTGCTTCCAATGCGGTTTGAGAAGGGGTCTTCACTTCTGTAGTAGGAAGCAAGGAGGTGGACTTCCATTCTTCCATGCTATATCTGCGTAAAGGCACGTGTACATATCGGAACACAGGGGTACTGCTGCCTGCCAGTGAATAAACACAGAGAAGGATCACTCAGATCTACCAAGATAAACAAACAAACAAAAAACCACATGCACGGTCTGAAAGACTGAGAGAAGAGAGGCTGTCTTGTTAGGAATTCACAGGGATTGCACACATGTCAAGTGTTTACTGGGACAAACCAGAGAGCCAGGACAAATGGAGCATTCTGGAAGCCACGTCAACAACAGAGCTGCTGTGAAAGTGGTAGTCTACCTGAAATGAAAGCAAGCAGTTTCTCCGGAGTTGATGTTAGCAATAGCTATTTCTCTTTATTTTTTTTTTGAAAGATTTGTTTTTATTGGAAAGGCGGATATACAGAGAGGAGGAGAGACAGAGAGGAATATCTTCCATCCAATGGTTCATTCCCCAGGCAGCCTCAATGGCTGGAGCTGAGCCAATTCAAAGGCAGGAGCCAGGAGCTCTTCCGGGTCTCCCATGCAGGTGCAGGGTCCCAAGCCTTTGCTTTCCCAGGCCACAAACAGGGAGCTGGAGGGGAAGTGGGGCTGCCAGGATTAGAACTGGCGACCTTTCGGGATGCTGGCACATTCAAGGTGAGGACTTTAGCTGCTATAGCGCCAGGTTCAGCTATTTCTCTTTCAATCATACTACATTTCAGAAGTATTTTTCACACACAAAAACAGTGTTTCAACAGTGAAACAAAAAGGATAATCCTTGGGATTGGGTCAAGTTGAGCTGAGGTCTTGGTTGGAGCTGACAAAACACCACCAGATGCATATGAAGTAAGTAATCAAGAAAGGCCAAGCAAGAAGTGATTGATCTACTGTCTCTTAGAGGGCAGGACTAGGATGGGTTCCAGAAGGGTTCTGGGCTGGAAGATTGTAAGTCTTAGAATGTATGGTTGGACTTGTAATTTTAGAGATGGAAAACCTTTGATTCATGTGCAAATCTCTTGTATTACACATTCAAATCAGTCAGGATCAAGGAGATTATCAATCAACATTTGTAGATTGAAAAATCAAAATAATCTGAACATCTTTCCCAGACTAGAGATCTTACCATCATGGAGGTTACACAAGGTGTCCCATATTAGATTGTTTTAAAATAGAATGTGAGAAAGAACATTTTCCCATACATATTATAAACTGTTATAAATCAGTAATCAGACTGGGTTGGCTCTCTAAGATGCTTTCCAGACTTAACTACATAGATATCTATCTACAGATAGGTAGATAGATAGATATAGATGTATGTGTAAACAATAGACAAGAATAGTACTGGTTTGTCTACTAAAATGGAAGGAAATGAATTATTCTAAAGTCTGAGAACAAGAAACCTCCTATACTGTGATAGATGTATAGATTTGCACAATTTTCCTGAGGGGCATCTTGGCAATATGTTGCAAAAGCCATTTAAAATGTACACGCTCTGTGTTCTAGTCAGTGCACTTCTAGATTAATCCTTAGGGGAGGAGGGAATCAGGTAAATATATTAAAATGCATGTACAAGGTTGCTAATTACAACATTGCTTATAATACTAAAACAATTGAAAATATATCTCAAGTATCCAATAGAAAATTTGGCTCATATTAAGGCAGATATTTGTGAGAAACAACATGAGGATTTTGGGGCGTGGAAAATGGTATATATGGAATAAAAGCACAGTATTACACTGAAAAAAAATTAAAAAGCAAAGAAAATATTATTAGTGGACACTAGGATGACAAGGAATTATGTTTAAAATTATTTGACATTAAATATTTATTGCTTATATAACAAACGTTTTAAGAAAGATACTTGGTTGTGACTCTCTTAAGATTTGGTAATTTTATTTCCCAATTAAGCTTAAAATCTGGATGGCAAATTCTTACATGATTTTGTTAAATGATTACAATTGTCCAAGTTATAAGATGGACATTTTGTGAATAACATTTTGACGGAATTGTTATTCCTTAGTACCTCGCTTTGGTGGAGAAAGCATTTTATAGACATAGCTGAAGGTGTATCAGCAGTCACATTATTTAGTACCAACAGTCTGTGCTTCAGAAACTATGTTTAAGTATAGCATAGTTTATGTAACTATAGTAACTAGATTATTATTAGCCACAGAAATTGAAGGCACAGAGTTTTTGATGGTGGTGACATATAAAACTAAAATTGAAATAATTAGAAATACCTTATAATAGACGGGAGGTGAGGGAGACTGGCAGGAAATGATGTGACACACATGAAACTGGGCACCAAGTCAGGAAACAGAACCAAAAGAAAGAAGGCTGTGCTACAACAGAGTCAGGGATGATATTTCAACTCGTTTTACTAATCATATAAATACTGACAGAAAAAGATAGCAAATGAGCTGAGATAGATCGTGGAAAAGAGCAAAGCAGTGTTGAACAGTGATGGGAAAACCCATGAGAGCTTTCCCTTACCAGGGACATCTTACGATGTACAAGCACGTCTGACATTAGATGCAAACTTTAAGTGAACAAGGCCCAGACTTGAAGATTTGGGATCTTTTACTAACAATCTTGATGGCCGTAAAAAAAGGAAGGCGACTGATGCAATGTCCTGCAGCCATAATTTAGGGGGAAAAAGTGGGGAAGATGCAGTCGGAGACTTTGTTGATGTCAGTTTTTTTTTTTTTAAGTTGCACCAACACAAAAATTACCTATCTCGTTTTATACATTGCCCATTGCTCCAATTTCCCCACCATGTTGGAAGATATAACATTCGTGACAATAAGTATCACTAGTTTGGTGACTACTGATTCCAGTTATTTCAATGCCTACACATGACAAATTAAGTGATGGGTCTACTGTTCTAGATCCAAACACTAGTATTTTCAGGCTTTCTACTACATGCCTGCCATTCTATGTCTGTTCTTCTTTCAGAACCAAAAAGTGCTGCAGCACTTTTGCTTCTGGCTGATGATGCTTTTGTTAGGATAAGCAGGTGACTGACAGGTGACTGACTCAAGAGTGACTTCAGAACAGATACACACAGGATGAGAACATAAATGAGAACAAGTGGGAAGGATTCAGTCTCAGGCAAAGGCAGTAAGAGCTGTGTGAAACACTATAAATTTCCCAGCAAGTCACAGCACAAGAGGACTCAGATGCCATACGATCTGAATACAAAGGAAGAGAGGTGCCCAATAACTCCAGAGAAGCACTCCAGCTAAAATATCTCACAGAACCATTCCCCTGTCTGGGGATTCTCTGCAGGAACTCACACACAGTGGAAAAGGACCCAAGTGCCCGGGCCCCCGCCAACGATGTTGGATACCCCAAATAGAGTTTCAGGTTCCTGGCCACACCCCAGGCACAGCACTGTGGATATGTGGGGAGTGAACCAGTGGATGAAAGATATCTATCTCTCTCTCTAAGTCTGCCCTTCTAGTAAATACATCTTTAAGAAAAACAAAAGAATTTTCAAGCGACTCAATGAGATTTTTACTTAGAAATAGCTACCCACCTGGCCCGCACTCCATTTTTTTGTCGTAAGAATGCAGTTTATCTTTTTGACTTAGAGATGAGCTTCTTTTATTTTTCATTATTCCTAGAGATCAAGTGCAAAGGAATATTATCTTTCCAAAAGCATTCTTCAATATATGACTTCAAGAGTGAATCAACCCTGATGTTGAACATTTTCTTAATCTCTACTTTTGCTTGCAAGAGTTTTATACAGAGATTCTACATACTTAGACTTTTTTTTTTTTAAAGATTTATTTTTATTATTTTTTCATTGGAAAGGCGGATATACAGAGAGGAGAGACAGAGAGGAAGATCTTCCGTCCCATGATTCACTCCCCAAGTGAGCCGCAACGGGCCGATACTATGCCGATCCGAAGCCAGGAGCCTCTTCCGGGTCTCCCACGCGGGCGCAGTGTCCCAAAGCTTTGGGCCGTCCTCAACTGCTTTCCCAGGCCACAGGCAGGGAGCTGGAAGGGAAGTGGGGCTGCCGGGATTAGAACCGGCGCCCATATGGGATCCCGGGCGTGCAAGGCGAGGACTTAACCACTTGCGCCACCGCGCCGGGCCCTACATACTTAGACTTAAAACTGCCTTATTCTTTAAGTTATCTGAGATGAACTTTAAGGTTACGTAATTTTAATTCCATTTTCAACAAAATTTTAAGGTTACGTAATTTTAATTCCATTTTCAACAAAATTATTAAATACTGTTGTATAGTATTGTTATTCTTACATAAGGTAATAATCATGCTACTTAATCATGCTACTTAAAGGAAACTGAATGAAAGGCTGGTCTCACTAGTCCCTAGAAAACACAATCTCATTAATAAGTTAGCTAAAATAGGAATAATTTTAAAATAAAGTTAATTATTAGGCCATTTAAAGACAATATATTTTGAATAAAATGTACCTCAGTTTGAATTAGCTGAATTCCCAACAACTCATCTAATATGAACAATGAAAAAATTAAAAAACAAGGATTTATATTGATAAAATTACACATCAATTGGCCATCTTTGTGTAAAAGAATGTGCTACTTTGCTGATGTATTTGTAGTGATCTGTGATCATCTTAAAATTTATGGCGAAAAAATATGAAAAAAAGCAAAGTGTTCTACGATTTAAAGAAGTGAGAGTATAAAAGCATAATTTCGTTACACTGTAATTCAGTACAATATATGAAATAACTACTTGCTCAGATCAGTACAATACTAAAGATCTTTGTAGATGACAAGGGGTTTGTCTACTGAGAGCAGGATGGTTCTGTTCTGGATTTTCAGTAGATACAGACCATTTACAACTAAGAAATATATGGTATTTATTTACACTCTTATTTTATGAAGACAGGCTTTTTGGCTAAGACTGGTGTTTGTGATTCAGCGGTGCCCAGCAGGCACACGCCTTCACCAGGCACATGAGTTTAACTGGCAGTCACTGCCTCTAAAACACATGAAGATAACTTTCATTTTATAAAACCATATAGAACTAGGTCCACAGATAGGAAAACATACAGCAAATCAGTAGTAAATGAGATTGACTTTCTTTTTACAATGTGACCTGGATAAGCTGTATAAAGTTCAGTAACTTCATCACTTTATGTTGACAATGAACTGAAACAAGATGCTTGGCATATTATTGAGTTATCTAGAAAATGTCCCCTGGTTTTTTTTTTTTTTTTTTGCTGACATTGATGAATGTAGACACAAAGATGTAGTTTATATAGTATTTTTGTTTAAAAAGATTAAAAGTTTGCTACAAATGCATTCTTCTTTTGATAACCAATATTTAAACATGAACATGAGCTTAAACTTAAAAACATGAGCTTAAACTTTAATAGTGGAGTTAATTACCCAATTTGCTGTCATAATCCAGGGGAAAGGAGGTCTCCCATGACCACCTCTTTTGTTGTCGGCCAACACGACTACTCCGCTCCAAAGTACGATGAACGACAGCTTTAAATTTTGCCTATTTGAAAAAGATGCCGTCACATTTTTACACACTCTTCATATAGGTGAATGTGGTTTGGTTCTGTGGCTTATAAACCAATCCTTTTATCAAATTTCTGTATTAGGTAAAAGTTTAAAATAATGGGAGATTCGGCTTAAGTGTTCGTCAATAGCAGTAGCTCGTTTTTCTATCTTATGCACTCTAAATGGAGGAATACATCAGGCTTTTCTCTCTGTCTTTCGCATGGGGGAGTTCAGAGCCAAGCTTTCAGTGTGTTTCTCACCAGCGCACCGTGGGAGAGTGTTAATCACACCTCACGCTTCATCATTCTTCTACATTATTCTTCTTGTTCTTGATTTCCTTCCCTCAATCATTTTTATCATCTGTTGTGGAATGTATTTTTAAAGTCACTTTTTCATTTATAAAATAAAGCAGGAAAAAAAATCAAAACATGCATAACAGAAATCTATGCCAATGTCATCTATTATACCCACGTTTGTTAAAATGCCAAGTTCTGATTTTAAAAAAACAAAATGTCAAAAAAAAATTCAAACATCTCTGACCCTGCCTCAGCTTCAGTTTAAACTGGTCAGGGAGACAACTCTACAAATTAAAGGCCGCACTGGGAGAAAACAACTCCACTTTCAGAAATGAATTATTTTCTCCCTATTTCTTATCCCTGCACTGCAGCATACCTGGCAAGCAAATCAATTTCAAGGCCAGAGGTTTTCTAGTCTTCCCTGACAACAACCGTTTCATAGCAACCTCCTCCTTCCCATGTCTTCACCATTGCTCTGAGGGCAAAGATAAATGTGCTAAAAAAATGTATGAAAACTTACATAACAGCAATGGTGGGAAATTCTATTTCCTAACACAGAGTTTTCTAATTAATTACTTAGAACTATAATAAGCTAAAGTCAGAGATTAACCCTATCTTGTTCAAATATTTCTGCTTTACTAAGATCCTGTCCTGCTGGTTCCACACTTGTCCCTCCCTGCTCAGCACCACCAGCTTTGTGGATCTCTGCTCGGAGGAAATCTGAATTTTCAAATCTGCATCAGTGCCATGGAGATAGAAAGCTCCTGGCTTCTCTCCTCAGGACCATTCTGACACACCGTATTCTCTTCTGCTAGATGCTTCACAGAGGATGCTGAACAGTGACAGTGATTCTGAATCAGCGTTTAGCAAATCCTGGACTGTGAAACATGGCAAGGATCAGCAATCACAGGAAGCGATTCAGAAAGACCAAGAAACAAAGTGGTGGTAAAGCATGCCTGGGAAGCAAGAGCACAGGACTCCAGCAGAAAGACACTTCTCTAGGCGGGATGTGGGGCCAGGGGTGGGGCAAGTGTGCATGTCAGGAAGGGGGACAAAGAGATATGAGGGTTTAGGGTGGGGAGAAGTGGAACTAAAGAGAAGAAAAGGAGAGAAAAAGAAATACAAAAATCCAAGCAGCAGAAAACAAGACAGACAAAACACATATTCATTGAGGGAATCAAAGGGAGTCCAAAACAGGGAAAACCAGAGAGAAGCTAAGACAAAGAAAGTAGAAAGAAAAGCAAGCTGATTTTGGCGCAGAAAAGCCAAAGGCAGATGAACCAGAGGCAGATGAAGCCTCACTTAGGGAAAACTTTGGAAAACCTCTTTGGAGAAAGATAGTAGAATGATCTACAAGAGAAAAAAAATCCGGCAAATGAAAGAGTCAAGGAAAAAAGAGGGCATGACAAAGCCCCTGACTTACATCAAAGAAGGGTTCAGATAGAAGAGCAGAGCAGTGGTGTCACAAAACAGGAGACAAAATGCTAAAGCATTGGTTCAATGGGTCCCAGTCCAGAAAGGTAAACTTGAGGAACTGGGGGCGGGATAGGGGGGCGGACGTGGGCCATGCAAGGCAGAGTGGGAATGTCCACTAGAGGGAGCAAGGAATACGGAAGGGAGAGCAAGTGTGCAGAGAAGGCTAAGAGGTGCTGCAATTTTAGGAGCTGTAAGCAAAGTCAGATGGGATCCTATGAGGGAGGGTCAGCTTCTTGGGTTTGCTCCTATTCGTTAGGCTATGCTGCAGGAGTGAAGGCTGTTTGGTAGTAGAGATAGCTGTGGCTAGGACTCCACTCCTGACTTTCAGGGGCTCTTCCTTCCTGAGGCTCATGTGTGACTCGCAGTGCCTGGGATCTTATCAGGAAAAGGAAAAAGAAAACGCTGGGATGGATTCCCTCCCCACAGGACTAGTCAAGGCAGAGGAAGCCAAGGAACAAAAATATTCCAGAGCCAGGCAAGAGGGTGTGGCACTTGATGGACGTACCTGCTCTTCTGCCAACCTCTGCCTCCTTTTTTCTTCCGCAGATATCTTCCTATACTCATCTTTGTCTTTTTGTTCTTTCATTTTGCGGTGTCTCTCTTCTATCTGCTTTTCGTACTGGAGTTTGGCTTTTCGTTCTTTTTCACGTAGTTGGGATTCTTTGTTGACTGAAACAGTCCACCATACATTTGCATGGTGTAAGAGCCAGGGGGAATATCCCAGTTTTTCACATTATACACAGATAGAAGGAATAAACTAATAGACCACATTCTCTCTCCAAACAACATAATCCATGCTAGTAATGAGAGATTTATTATAGAAGAGAGCACAGCTGGCCACTAGAGAATCATTTTTTTCACTGGATGTTCCTTTAACTCTGGAGAACTGGCTTATCTAAGCCAGATGATCCTCTTCCTGTCCAAACTAGCATTCTAAATTCTGAAGAAATATTTTCTTCATATGATACTCCTGTTGGTTGGCGCTAAAGTGAAGCCTTGATAAATATGTTGTGTATTAAAATATGGATTTAAAATACACAGAATGTTTTTGTTTCCTTCTGCTAGGAAACTTTTTTCAAAGTGCTCATCTCTACAGACTACATTAAACATGATACTTGCACATGAATGGCCCTGTAAGTTACAGAACACTCTAACAGCTTCCTACAGATAGAGTTTCCATGCTGTTGTAAGCTATTGTACTGCTTTGTCTTTCCAACTGGTCTGTTTCAAATAGAAAAATTTGCTCTCCATTTAAATAGAATACTAGTTTTGCTCATGGATTTAGTAGCTATAACCAAGATACATTATTGAAAAGTGTGCTCTCAAGTTGAAGGTAGATTATTTGGAGCTCAATTTATACAAAGTCATACTGCAGAATCATAACAATCAGCAAAATTACACTTTATCTATTTCTGGTTTACTAGACATTTTTTATCATTTTTGAAATAAGTTTCGCTTACTTCCTGTTATATATGCTTTCACAAATGCTGAAGAAATTTTCATCCTGGAGCTTTTAGAAAATCAAAGCCCTAGAGTTTGCAAACTAAACCAATAGTTGCAGATTCCCCTTGCGCCTCCTTTATCTGGCTTGACAAGTGGATTTAGTCTGATCTAATACACACTGTAACAATTATAATCTACCATGTTACCAGGTTAGGAAATGTAAAACCACTTTGGAAAAGATAACATTAACATAAAATACATGCATTTTTATTTAAAATATGTTATACCATCTTCTTGTCTTCTCTTCTCCTCCCTGCGTTCCTTTGCCATTTTTTGTTTTGAGTCATTTCGGAGTACAGATCCATCTATAACTAAAAGAAAAAGGATATAGTTAAGCATCAATACAATGTCAACTTTTAAAGACAGGGCACGTTGACATGTATCAAATCATTATAGAGATTATACCTGGTTTAACTGACGACTTTAGATTTGACTGTTGGGATGCAATAGAATTAAATTGATTTCGATTTCGTCTTTCATCAGCAATTGCTTGGGCTTCAGCAACTAAAATACAGGTAGACAAGAGATTAGATATTAGCAAGATAAACAGTTAGCATGTGAGCTGACAAGCCACAACAGTTGTGCCTTTGATGACAAAGCCTGGAAAAACCTCCATATAGTCAAATCATAACTGAGTAACCCGGGTGACAGTGACGATGCACTTGACGCCTATGACGTTCAGCACTATTTTAGTAAAGAAATAAAAGCACCTGCTTCCTATGCCAGTGCTGGGTAGATTAATGGCAATGGTGGCCCTGAGCTTGTGGATGGATAAAAGTGTGTGATCAATAATTTTCAAAATTATCTCAGGTAAGACATTATGCATTGCATGACAGTAGAAAAACTGAGCTGGCCAGGTATTGGAAAATAATTTGTTTCATCATAAATTGGGGATGTTAGAACATCATACGTGAACAATGTATGGATCTGAATCTGAAAAGCAAAGTGTTGGTAATAAGTCTCAGAGAGTGGGTCCACTATTAAGAAGCAAATATATAAATGATTTATATTAGGCTTTCATCCCCAGTTTTACCCTGGGGTTACTTGAAGTGGCATTGCCTCCCTGTACCACTAGTCTTTGGTTTGAGGTCCATGAACCTGTTGTTGTTAAACGTTCTATTCTGATGCACAATGAAGGTAGAGGGAGGACCATTTTCTAGGAGAAGAAATCTCCAGTGAGATGATATCATTTTGAATACAAATAGGCCAAGCAAACAAAGAGAAATCAGACAGGTGTTAACATATATCTTTTGTGATCAAGGTCACTAACATAGAAGTATAAGACCCAAGGGGTACAATTTGAGGGAAAGTAAGGAAAACTAAAGTTATTATAGGAGATCCCGGAGTCCTTCAATTCCATGCATGATTGAATCAGAAAAAAATGTAAATCCATGGAAGGGTATTGAAAACCTGACCACTATGTCTCTACCTCTGTCCTACCCTGATCTAAAAGCATAGATCCTATGCTAAATATGCTCCTATGATACTACATACAAATCTGGTTTCTACAGACAAATGTAACAGTTAAAAATGGACAGTTTAAATAACCAAGGGAACAGAGCAGCTGCTCTGGCACATGTAAAATACATGGGCTTTGAGGAAAGCTCTCTGGGAGTCATCTTAGTGATTACCTTGAAAGCAACTTCACAGTAGAAATACCATAGAGATCACCACTTCAAAAGAGAAAAGTATTTTTTTTAACCCCAAGGCCCTAATAGCTCTGATATACAGTTAAACCTAAAAGATTAGCCTCTTCTCAGCTGTTGTAACCAAATACAACTGGATTTGAGCACTAGCATATTACAAAAATTCTTAAATATAGCCTGGAAGTTAAAATGTTCCACAACTTCACACTTGGCAATATTTCTTATGTAAGCATGGAGAAAATGAAGTCCCTTTGTAGCACTCCTTGTGCACAGGGCATTTTCTTGTAAGAAATGAGCTCCTGTGGCTGAGAAAACTGAAGGGAAATTTTCCAGGTTACACAATCAGTACATGGCAAAGCCAGAGCAGGATTTGATTTTACATTAAAAGGCAACTTTCTTCCAAAAATATTAAAGTAATAATAATAATTTAAAAACATGAAAAGGAAAAAAGATGTGCAAACAGGAAACCACAAAATAAGGCAAATTCACTGAATTTTGCCTTATTGGGTATAGGAACAAAGTCATAGGGTATAGGTCTGAGACAGACAGAAGAATCCCAAGACCAAATGGAAGACAACATGTCTTGAAGATGAGGAAAGTTGGGCACAGATTCTACCAATGAAAGGCACTTAAGCAGAATGGTTACTTGGAAAGATACAAAGCTTGCTGTTGGAGTGGTACACATTCAAGTCGGAGAAGCTGCCCAGATTTTTCTAGCTGGGCCTCTGGCCTGGACTAAATAACCTCACTGTTCCGCCAGTTCAGAAATGCTATGGTAATTTGATTTGGAATCCTAGTAGCCTTCTTTGCATTTGTAGAGAACATTGAGTAACTTACTCTAAGAAATCACTTGGGAATTTAAACAAGAAAAAGGTGACAAGTCAGAGGCAAAGTTTCTGATGCTCATCTGGTTGAAAGATTGAGATAAAATAATTGGAAAGCACTCACATCTAAAAACATTAAACATGTGTTTTGTTGAAACAAGCATATTTCTCTGGCATGTTAGAAACAGTACATTGCTATGCATGTTAACAATTCAATAATTAGATATGTATATTTACACATGATAATTCATGTATACATATATAGATATATGACAACTACACTAATCACCTAGGTAAGGTTTTCCCTTCAGGATATTATTTTAACTTGTGCACCCAGGCTCCCAGAAGGAGATGAAACTGACCTTTAAGCCAAGCTTGGGAAAATGTGGGACATGCATGATATAAGCAGCAAGGAAGCAAGCTAGGGATCTAGATTAAGCCTTTTTGGTTGTTTTTGTATTAAGTTTCTGGCTAGAAATGCTGTGAATCCAAGCAACTGCGTGAAATGCTTCAGGGGTATCCAGAACACAGCTCCTTCAACAGATAGGCTAAATACTGGCTAGCAATGTCAGAACATTGTAAGCATTGATAAGCACAACAGCACTCAGTGCAAAACCTCCTGGCGCATTGTTGAGCTACAGACAGAAGGAACGTTGTTTTCTCCTTAAGGAATGATGACGTGTACTCCCTTCTGATGCGTTCTTTGGAGAGACTTAAAGTGTCCTTCATGACATACAGCTGCCCAGTTTCAGCCAGTCTAAATTGGGCTCTTAATTGCACGTGAGAAAAAAGCCCTAAGGATTTCAGCAAAACAGGGACAAAACCAATACTGTCAGCCCAGAGGCAACTGAAAGAACTCCCACCCCCCCTCCCACCCTGCAAAGCAAGAGATACTGTCTTATTCAGGTAGCAGTGTAATCCCCTGCTTTAAACAGCATGATATGTTGCTTAATTTGTTTTAGAAGATGGGCGGTTTGGAGGGATACGGAAAGTTTATTGGTGATGGGACACGTTGAGGAGCCACACTCTGGTGGCTGACACCATTCAACTTAAGGACTGCAACGTGGAAGGTAAGGTCTTGTCGAAATCATTTGCTACAGCAGGCAAATCTGATGTTGCAGAGAGCCGTTTCATCTCAACTTTCAAAGCAAGTTTTCAACGCAACCCCCAACCCTTCTCCAGGGACTTCCTCCCTGGATCCTGACAGAGTGGGTGCAAAGGGCCACGTTTGAGAAAATCTCAAACTTTGTGTGCCTCAAAGGGCTGTCCTGGCCGCGCAGGCAGTGCTGAAGCACGGGTCCTGCCGAGTGCCCGCGCATGCCGTGCAACAGAGGGGTCGCATCGGATTGTTGCACTCGCGTTAGTTGCTCTGGACATCTGGTGCGGCGGCTCGGAACTGCCCATCAGGTCAAAGGTTCGAATCTTCCTCTGCGATCTATGTCACCCCCACCCCCCGCAGAGCCCATTAGTTCTCCTACGCCCCGCCCGCAGTTTTGGCCCAGGGCACCGATACTTCGGTCGCTGGTGGCACCAGCTGTCCATTTCACCTCCCGTGTCCGGCCCAGGATTCCCCACGCCCGTCCCATCTCAGGAGACTCTGGTGGAACTGAGGGAAAGACCGGCTGGCGCGAAGGGGCACAGGAGGAAAGTGTTTTGGTGCCTGCCGCGCTGCTCCGGTGGGTCAGTCGCGGGAATTCCGCCCCCCGCACTGGTCCGAGTCGCCAACTTGCTCACCCATTTGTTGTCGCAGCCCCTTTAAGGATGTGCCGCTGCGGGCGCCACCACCAGAGCTGGGGCGGGCTGCCATCACCCGGACGCGGATGGGAGCTGCCGGTGGCTGCTCTGCCAAAGTGCGCTGGCGTTGGTGCTGCCTCTTTTGGACCTGCGGCTCTGATTGTAGCTGTGGCCGTGGCTGTGGCCGTAGGAGTGGCCGTGGCGGTGGCCGAGGCCGTAGCCGTAAGGGGTGCCGTGGCCGTGGGGGGGCCCGTGGCCGTGGGGGGGCCCGTGACCGTGGAAGTGGCCGTGGGCGGGGCCGTGACCGTGGGGGTGGCCGTGGGGATGACGGTGGTAGTGGTGATGGCAGTGATAGGGACGGTGACAGCGATAGTGGCGGTGGACAAGATTGTGGTGAGGCTGGGCTGGGCGGTGGGGCGGGTTGGGAAGGTGGATAGGGGCGGTGCAGCAGCAGCAAGACTCGGATAGTAGAGTTGGGGCTGAGCGGCGGGGCGGGACAGCGGTACAGCTGGGAGGGACGGCGGGGCGGGACTGGGCGGAGCGGTAGGGAGAGGCGTTGGGATGGGGCGCGACGGAGAGGTGGGGCGGGGCGGGGCGGCGGGGCGGGCCCTAAAGGGCCCGCCCGCCCACGTCGAACCTTTGGTCCCGGCAAGGCGGCTCTTGTCCCACCTACTACCCTCTGGACTGTCAGGGCTGAAGAAACCCTAACTCACTTTCCGGGCTTTACGCTACAGCATCCTGGGCGCCAGCCAATCAGCAACCCGCGTGGCCGCTCGGCATTCCTGGCCTGCTTTATTACGTGTACCTGTCAGTTCTGTAAAGTTCCACTGCTTGAGGTTCAGGAACATGCACGCCATCACACTTCCTTGTGTGCACTTCGGTCATGAGTTTTCTAGTCTTTGGGACACTACACAAAGAAAGCCCTATTTGCGGAGGCGGGGGATCGGTGGAGGCCCAGGGAAAGGCTGGAAGGAAACACTTTGCTATGAGGAGCTTGGGCCCCTACTGTGAACAGGTTTTCTTAAATCGTAGAACAGATCGTGGTACTTTTAGGTGTTAACGTGGGGTGAAAAACCCTAAGGGTGTTTGTGTATCTTTAAATTGAAGCAGGAGACATAGTCTCTACATCTGGGATTGGCGAGGGAGGTCTCCAAGGATGCAGGTTTTATCAATTAATTCAGCAAAAACTGAATTGGCCTATCCAAGGTGCAGTCAGCCTTGTTATTTATGTGTTGTGACACAGGGTGGGAGGAAGCAGCTTATGATTGCAGCTGCAGATATGGTGGAGACCCCCCAAAGGGGCAGATCACTTGGAAGATAAACCCTTGAAGACCCCACACAGTCTCAAAATGATAAATGACCACAGGGACCGAGGGGACAGCGTTGTGATGTGCTAGGTAAAGCTGCTGTCTCAGAAGGCAGCATCCCACATGGGCACCAGATCGAGTCCTGGCTGCTCCATTTCCAATCCATCTCCCTGCTAATGGACATAGGAAAGCAGCAGCAGCAGGCTCATGTGCATGGGCCCCTGCACCCCTGGGGAGACCTGGATGAAGTCCAAGGCTCTAGGCTTGCACCCAGTTGGCAAGTGAACTAAGGGACAGAGGACATTGCTCCTTCTCTGTCTTTTCCTGTATAACTCTGCCTTTCAAATAGATAAATCTTAAAAAAAAAAAAAGCAAGAGAGAAATACAAAATGGAAGAAACAGAGTAGAAAATATGTACTTCATTCTTTATTGTGTGTCAGGTACTTGTTTCGAACGTATTATCTCCTGTAGTCCCCCTACATTCCATCATGACTCCTATTTTACGAATATAACTAAAAAGGTAAAGTCATTTGTCTAATGGTAGATAGCAAGGGATAGAAATGGAATTTGAATTAACAAAAATCTCACTGGGGTGTCATGTTAGCATCATGTCCCAGCTGCTCCATTTCCCATATAGTTCCCTGCTTGTGTCCTGGGAGGACAGTGGAGGATGGTCCAGGACGTTGGGACTGTGTGCCCAAGTGGGAGACTCAAAGAAGGCTCCTGGCTTCAGATTGGCTCAGCTCTGGCCATTGTGGCCACTTGGGGAGTGGGCCAGCAGACAGAGGAGCTTTCTCTGTCTCCTTCTGTCTGTCTGCCTTTCCAATAATATAAAAAAAAATGAAAATAATACAAACAAGAGTTATTGTTTTAGTTAATATGTCTTTTAAGGATTTTATAACTATATATAGCTCTCTAACATCTTTCATAGATTACTGTGAAATTTAGCCTTCACTCTTTCATTTGGTAACTAAGTCATTGAATTAAATTTTTAATGAATACCTACTGTGGGTCTGACACTACGGGGAGAAGGAGTCAGGGAAGGAAGACCCACCCCCTTGACCTCTGAATCTTCCTGAGTGACTCTTCAGCCAATGATGTGGATCAGGCCATACTTAGACATTTCCTTGGGGCCACAGAAATTTCTTAAGGAATTCCCATGAAACTGCACTTTTCTCAGAAAAATATTGGAACTGAATGCTGCCAGCTTGGGGAGAGTGGAGTCTATTCTGGAGCCAAAACAGATGTAGAGCTGGGAAAGAACCCAGGCAGTGCCTCTGCTCCCCTCCCTGTATTTGTAATGTGTGTGTTCCCCAGTGAGCACGAGAAAACTGGAATTCTTTTCTCTTACTTTCCTTCTTGGCTGTTTTTTTTCTTTTAACCTTATACCAGCAGGAAAAAAATATTCAGAAACCGCATTCACAATAGGTTGAGGAATTGTGACTTTTTCCATTAAAAGTTGACATTTTTAGAAGTGATATTCACATAAAATAAACGTTCCATGAACTTAGCAAGTTTAACAAACTTTCCGTGAAATTCCACCATCATAGCACTGGCTGAGGGGTGTTAAACTAAAACAGTCATGTGGTGGACCTTCTTCCCCATCCTGAACTACCTAGTTAATACACCCACCCTGGAGACAGGGCTTTGCACTGGCGCTTTTTTCTCCTCCCCCCTCTGACTCCTGCCCTGAATCTGTTGCAACTTGGCTGTACTGTACTGGCAAGAGCCATGTTTCTCATCTGTTCTTCTTGTCTCTTGCCAAAACTCACATTCCCCCCATCCCCCAAATTAGTGCTTCCTTCATTCCCAAGTTACAGGCAGACTTTGGAGCCTGATTATTTCTTGCTCAGTTGATGGCAGCTTTTTCAGCTCTGAAATTGTCCCAGCAGCAATGACTCCCACCCACTGATGACCCTTCACTCTGCTCTTTTCCTTGTCATGGACTACCGGGAGGACCTTGCTTTCCCCTTTCAGCAGGCTGAAAGGATGGAATAGGCAGATTTTTGTTGCCCAAGTTCACCAGGGTGAGGACAGTGAGCTTCTGAGGAGGGGCAGAAGAGGCCACACATGTTGTGGAGGGAATTTCCATCAGAACTAACTGTAAGCTCATACAAGGCTCACAAGGGGAGGGTGTAGCAGTGGTGGCAGCCTGTTTGGAGTACTAGTTAACTTTTTGTTCTTAGAGGAAGATAAACAGATCTGCCATTTGTTGAGTGCCTACTCAATGGCAGGCACAGTGGTAAAGGTCTGATATGACCTAGTTCTTGTCATCCTCACTATGAACTCATGAGCTAGCTTCTATTATCACCTCCATTTTACAGATGAGGAAGCAAGCATAAGATTATCTAACCTGCCCAACGCTGGTGCATCTAGGTAGTGACAGAGTGAGGATTTGGGTTTATAACTACAAAAACCTCGTTCATTTTGCTTCAAACTTAAAAAAAAATCATACATAGTTTTTCAATAGTATATATTTTCCACAAATGTTTGGAAGTGTCCTTGTACATCTAATTCAAAGTAAGTACTTCTTTCACATCTCCCAGTTTAGCAGTGGATGAGCCCTACTATGCTTGTAATTTGTAATTCACCTCCTCCATCCCTCCTCTACTCCCTCCCCAACACTCTGGCTACTGGGCCTTTTTAGTCATGCACTTTCTAATTGGTAAGATCTTCCCTCAGCTACATCTCCCAGTGCCAGTATCAGTATGACTTTCTCTTAAACCATTTAATGGAATCGACTCAAATAATTGGGTAAGAAACCATTAAAATGGGAGTTCAACATCTGGCAGTGGAGATAGGATTCCTCCAAGACTTCATTGTAGAAAGGCACTGCAGAGTCAATGAATGTTGAATTTGAGGGACTGACTTCAAATTACTTGTGTAAAGGAACACATACCACATTTATCACACTGTGTGCCCTGTAAGCAATATTTGTGGAATGAATGAAAGAGGGCACTATGAATCCCTCTGGGTACTGCAGGAGAAAGGAATGAAAATATTTTGGATGACTTCTGGAGTGTTGAAAAGGTCTAAAAATTATTAAAGGGCAAGAAAATGTCCTCATTTTTTTTTCTAGACTTCAAATAAAGT